TTCGATCATATGACAGAAGTTCACTCTGATGAAAGTATGTAGGATATAATTGAAGAGTCAAGTCTGGGCTGAATCACTGCCTTGACTGGGAACATCTACAGAAATTATTTAAAAGGGCTCCTGAGAATTCATATAGGCATTCAGTTTTTATTTTATAGGAGAGACACAAGTCCTCCTAAATACTCCAACCCTGCTTCGACCTAGCAACTTAGAAGAAGGTGGAGAATCAATCTGCCTTTTAACAGCAATACTAATACAAAAATTCTTCACCAATTAGAGTTCTAACGCAAATGACTCTCCAGAAAAAAAATGCGCATGCACTAAGATAGCAGTTGTCTTGATAACACCAAAACAGCTACAGATGAATGGAGGGAAAAAACAAGGGAGCAGGAAAATAAGTATCTTGGTAGTTTGACAAAAGAATCAGTATGGAGAAACATGCAGCGAGACTGACCCGTTCGGGGTGTGTAGCAGTTCCTTACCCAACCATTCTGCCAGTCTCCGGCCTGCCATCCCCTCCAAAGGAGTGAGGACAGATAACAGGCAGGAGAAACAAACCCCTCCAAGAAATGTCTCACCTTTCAGGAGTACACTAAATTCAACTGCAGTTTAAATTTGTTGGTAGTAATGTGTATTAATTTCCAGTGCATAAACTAACACTTGAAACATACTAATTCCTCATTCCAGTTCTATTCCTGATATTTTCTTTTTTAAAAGACGTTTAGAAAAATTCCAGTAAATACCAGTTGATACCATATATTCCATAAAACTAGCAAGAGGGCTCAAATATGGTAGATCCTTTCAGCAATGTAGGATGAGAGTTCTTCATACAAGTGTTAGTATTGTATGGACTTCCTTTCAAAATAGCAAAATTCCGTACACAACTTGCCTTTGTACGGGGGAGAATTGATGGTTCCTGTTTCAGGTGGCAACTCTAGAATAAGTACATGGGTGGCAGGTTCCTTGCAATATGTTTTGTTGGCATATTCCTCCCTGGGATCCCACTCACTTAAGTCTGAGAAGTACCATCACTTCCTTGGCCCAGCAATACTATTACAAGAAGATAAATGTCAACAAGCCTATGGGCAAAGTCACTACATCTGCAGGAGTCAAGATTATTTCTTGAGTACTTTGGACTACAGAAGTTGTTCAGAGGACCACTTGAGGGATTGCCATGTTATTGGCAGCTTTCGAGCTAGAGCTGGTGATGGCATTTTGCATTGCTCACTGGACTTCGCCAAGCCTCTGAACAAAGGGAACAGCAATGAGCAGATTTGACAAATACTATCTCATGTGGCAGATTTCATTTCAAGATAAGCATTACGTAAGTGTTTCAAGATGGCAGTCGTGTTCCAAGCTGAACTATTCCACTTCTGAAAATGCAAAAATAACTACTCATATGTATGGGCTTAGGTTTGTTGAAAGAAATTAGACTCATTTCTGAGCCAAGTACAGACACACCAGCAGGAATAAGTCCTTCCTTGTCTAGTCAAAAACACAAAAGGAAGATGCCTGCCTTTGGATTTCAGTTAAGCTGCAGTGTTTTTAAACCATGCTTTTCCATACTTATCGTATCTCCCCAGGGAAGGATAATGAGTCCACAGGGACAAGAAATATTAACTCTGCAACTTGGTCAAACTGAAAAAAAGTTAACATACAAGAATTTCCTTCTGACAGAGCTTTATTAAGCAGGCAACCAAGAATACAAAGACATGCTTCCTAAATTTTAAGAACTGAGAAGAAATGGTACAGAAATTATTCTCCATTTCCTAACCTGTCACCAACACTGCAAAGATGTGAACACAGGAGTAAAACTTTCTGCCCGTTACAGTCCTTCTAGAGCCTATAACTCAGACTGATGTGGAAAACAAAGGTCATGAGAAACATATTTGGCATTCATATATGACTGCATATCCAAAATAACTCTTTTTGTGGGATGTCAGCCTAGCTTCTCCTTCCCTTACTTGTCTCAGCAGATTCAGAACACTCTCAGATGAAAAAAATGATAACAGGGTACACAGAAATAAAGAGCAACTAAGGAAATAATTAAAGGCTACCCTATTTTACATGAGACACGAGTCAAAGTATTACAAAATACGGTATCTTAGAAGTAATATCTCTGACTTGCAACAGCTTCAGAATGATCTGAGTCAGTGATCAGAAGTTCAGAAGTTAGCTTTGCTCATTAAAAAGCAGATGAGCAAATCTTTAATCTCTGTTTTGCCTGGGAGTTAAAGACAGCAGTAAAGTACATACACAACAGTTAAGTTACTTCTTTCATTCCCCAGGAATTACATGGCAAAGACTGAGACTGTTTGAGCTCTTTAGGACAGGTTGAGCTGCACTAGATCCCCACAGACAGGAAAGAAAAAACAGAATGTGGTGATGTCAACGTGATTTTAAGGTACAGGAAGAGTGTATCCTGTGCAACATTATGTTCCAAATACTTAACTGTCTTCTGTCTTCCATGGCTCACAATTGCGGTCAGAAACCACAATGGTGGCAAAAATGTACAGAACAGAGTAGAGAACTGGGACAGGGTACTGAAGTGGAGAAGGATCTCAGCAGGAGAACACAGGTTTGACCAGGGAGTCGTCTTTAGCATTTCTCAAACATTTTACAGTCAACATTATACTAAGGCACTTTGTTACAGTGAGCAAGAAGCAATCTCCAGGTGAAATAACTTCCTCGTTTCTGCTTCGTTACTCTTAAACATTTATATGGAGTTATAGAAGAATAAAATAGATATTACCTGTGCTGTATGCCATTGCAAAATTATTCTGTGTTTGCCAGGAGCAAGCAGTTAATATTCAATATGACATACATTTTCAATGCAACAAAAAATCAATTGAGAAAAGAAGTTATTAACATTGCATCCTTTACTCCATGTAAACAATACTTGCTCAGCAGAACATAATCAAATTAATCAAATCAATTTTCTCAGGGTAAAGGAGTTTTTCCTAGTAAATGCACAGTTGGAGAAAATTTTGACTTCTTATTTTGTTTTGAAAATATGGGTACATTATCTTTTTTTAAAATATAATATTTTGCAATCCAGTATGATGGTAAACATGTGCTAAAAGCCTCTGTATGAAAAGCTCTGCAATCAAGGATTTGCCTTTTCAATTACAACACTATTAACTTCAACTGTATTCCACAGTTTGAGAAGAATTATAGGGTTGTTCTTCTCTGAAAGAAAGCAATTGCCCTAACAGCTTTTTGTTATAACTTACTTTGAAGAGCATCCTTTATTTTTCATTTATTTTGTTTGTAAACATTTGTTTTATATGCCCTTAAAAGCAATGGACATTTTTGTTGCTCCAATAATTTAGTTAATATGACAATTAATTCCTACTCCCAAACAAGTCCTGTTTCCTGAGTCAGATTTACATAGAAGCATTGAGACTTTCACAGTGTGTTTAATCAGATATAGACAGTGACACAGCACACACTTGACAGTAACAGCTTCAAAGAACTTCAAATTCCTCTACATCAAATAACATCTGAGGATGAGCGACATACTCAGCCTACAGAGAAACAGTAACTATACATTTTAGCTATTAAAATTTAAATTATTATATTTCAAAAAGGCATCTTCATAACCCCATAATCAAATGGCTTCTACCAACAGAAACACTACCATGTCTAGAAAAGCATTCTAAAGAGCTTCAGAATTGGATATTTATGGAAATAAGATGACTCCTGGATTGTCATTTTGTTTTCATGTCAGCCATACTCTTTCTGAAGTTAAAAATACAAAGAAATTTTCTGTTGCAATGATATAAAATTTTGCTACCAGTTGTGACAGATAAGCCTATATTTCTACTCCGACTCAAAGAACTGAAGAACAAAATCAAACATGTTGAAACTGATACACAAGAACTACACCAGTTTTGCCTAAGTGTGAATATATTGAAAAAATCAAAGATAACATCAGAATTAAAGTACAATAACACAATAAACCCTGAAATGAAAATTCAGACTCAAACTTCTGAATATTATTATAGTTAAGCGTTCTGACTGGTTTGTTCTGATACCAGAATCTATGCATCTTTTAAGTATGATGATGATCAGATGGTCATAGCTGCATTATTTTTTAATCTAGTTTTCACAGTTTAGTAAAAAGGAAAGATTCAACATGAGTGTAGTCTGTCAAGCTGAGTCCCTATCAAGCTCATACAGCCTGTGCTAAAATTTGTCTACAAAATTTTCTTAACTACTATCGCTGCAAGATGGACTAAAGCTAGGGGAGTATGCCTATCCACACTATTCTTACACCATGTGGCTAAGTAAATACAGTATTTAATTCTAGGTTTTATAACATGCAATAGGACACAACAGATGCTGCAAAATTTGAAACATGCACAATGGATCTGTCTTTGCTAAAATGGACGTAACCTGCTAATTTCCAGTCTGGCAGAATATTACAGAACCAAAAATAGTTTTAAAAAGTAGGCAACAAATAAAGAATTGCAGGGCTCTTTTCAAATTCCACAATATATACAAAAGTTTATTTAAAGCAACAGCATTCTGGATGACAAAGGGATTTAGCTTACCAGTACCATCTCTAATTGCTAACTTCATGTGATATCGCAACAAAATTTAAAATAATCTGGGGGATTTGGGGATTTAATAGGCCTTTTAGGTATAGTACTATCCAATAGGGTATTTTGACACTAAAATGGAAATTACATATATTGTTTAGACTTAAAATGTTTACACTATTACAGGACTGTCTTCCACACTGGTAAATTAGTTGATATCATCTGTGAGAGGTCACTCTCCTGTGATAGTACAAACCATTTTCTCATAATAATATGATCAAACGTGTTTCTCTCAATAATTGCCCTTCAGATACTTAAAACACCAAGATCTAGTTAGTGTTTTAACTGCACAAAATGTGCACATATTCCTATTGTCAGTTTGACAGAACTAGAAGGAGTTATTACAGTGCAAATAAAAGAATACTGTTTTGGGTTTTGCCCTTCTTTTTTACTCACTTTCTTAATAAAATCAGGTACCTCCTTTTTGTCTGAAAGCTGGATTAAAGAGGAGCAACATTCTACCTCCAAGACATATCCTTCACTATGGACGTCACCTTTTGGAGACCTAAAAAGGCAGACAGAAAAAACAAATCAGTTTCTGCTGTTAATGCTGGATACCCAGACTTCCCCTTTACAAATATTTCTCATGGAGAGCTACCCTTCAGACAAAACTTTGGTTCCCACACATTCACTCCATTCAGCTTGACACAGTTTTGAAAAGTGGCAGCTACAGCATCTCACCTACTTGCTAGGGAAGGAGATCACACCAATGACTGCAGATGGTGGAAAGCCTCAGGGACTTCCAAATTTCTTTATCTGTCCAAGAAAAACTTTGTCAGTGTTTCCTGGACAGATCTATGGCATCTATGGCAAACACCAAGGAGATGCACAGGTAATGTAACTCAGAATATGCAGAAAGCAGGTTCCAATGTAATGGGCTGACAGATGCTCTGAGCCCCACAGGGCTGCCTGATGTAGGGTGTGTTTCACAGACAGTAATTAAAGGAAACCCTTCTCTTGCCTACCATTATTCTAAGGCAACATTTAAAAACCAGGGGCTAATCAGTCTATCCTTCACTCTTACCTTATGATTTGTTGTTGAGATATAAAAACCTATGCGTGAAATCCCTTCTCCAGAAGACACTAACTCCTAAAATAATTCAAAGCGTGTGGCATCTGCCATATACATTGCTGAAGAAGTCAGTGCTGTGGAAACATGGTATTAGTCAAAACATGCCAAGGGAAAGTTTGGAAGTTATCCTGAAGTTATCCTATCCAATCTTGAGAAACACTCCATGGGCATGCACTGCAAAGCAGTGCTACTGAAGGCAGTTTTCATCTTTTCTGGTCTCCCATGAAAGGAAACTGATACACCTGATCAACAGAGGAAATCTAATTTGTTCTATCAGTTCTTTAGGAGAACATGTGGAGAAACATACAAAAAGAAAAGCTAGCCTGTAATTCTTGGGATTAGTACCAAAGTAGTTAACATCCTATATGGAGAATCAAAAAATCTAGTTTGAAGTAAAGAACTAATCCTGGACAGCAGTCACTTGATGCACTGGGTACCTACAGGACAGGAAGAAAGGTGCAGAAGTTTGAACTGAGAGTGCCAAGAAAGCAGCAAAACAACAAAACAAGGGCTTTGCTGGCTTGCCATGCTTACAAAAGCAAGACTATGCGAAAGCCCTGTTCTGGGGACTGAGATTGTGTGACACATAAAACACGCTTCAGCTACAGATGGTCCCAGGGGCTTTCCCGAGACGCTAACAGTTACTCAGAGCCATGAGATGCGTAGGCTGCTGACTGCAAACCGGCAGTGTGTTTCCTAGGCAATACTGCAGACATTTTCTCAAGTATCACATGACATTTTTTGTACTTGATCTTCCCACTTTCACACAGGCTATACTCTCACTTCATTTCTTTTATCTCACTTATATTTGGGACAGGTGGTACCAGACTCTGAATCGTTTGGGAACACTCAAGTCCTTTCCTTATTTGTTTTTCCCCTCCTTTCTAAGTTCTTCTCATAACTTGTGGTCCCATCCTGTTCTTGATTCTGGACGAAAATTTTAACAAAACATTGGTGTCCATGGAAATTCTCCAAACATCTCTATAGGATATACAAAAATCATTATTGGGGGACTAAAAGTGTTCCACCACTACTCCTCTGTAACTGGTGTACAGAAATTAATTTAAGCAGCAAAGAACAGCTTTGTCAAGAAAAAAAAACCCAAGATAACTTTGTGAGGGGGAACACAAGAACTACAGATAACCATTTTTGCTGTTCCCACAGCAAAATCTAGATAAATTCCTAGATAAAATAATCTATTCTGTTCATATTTTCCACCACAGATAAACTCAATGAATTCAAGAACATAAAAATAAACTTAAGAAAGTCTCCCTGCTAGAGCACTTACTACTATACCTCCATTTTTTTTCTAAAATCTGAATATGACTAATTGGAAATGTAGCCCTGATGTTATCTAGTCAAGTTCCAGACAGAAAAGTATGAGCTAGGGCTATCTAATGTTCTAGCAATTAACAGACCATCAAAACTGCCACTTGATATTACAATGCAAAGTCCATACAACATCAAACACAGCAAAACCAATTCTCCAGTGCTTCAGTAGTTGTTTAATTACAAACCAGAACTGGGTTACCAGGAACACGCAGCAAGGAACCAAGCCCTTTTTAGACAACCAATCCCTTTTTTGGGGGACAACACCAAACCTCTACAAACATGAGGACCAAATGATTCTGCCATTTCCCTTGTCAGGACAACCCACCTCACTCAACACAGTCCCCTTCCAGCCTGGCTGAGGAAACCATATTCCCAGAGCAGAGACTGAAATTATAGAGCTCAAATTCAAAGTTATCGAATCTCAGAAATGAAGTATGTGACATGCCATTTCTTTCCGTTCCCAAGGCTTGTTTCTTACATAGTTATCAGGTCTCTGTGCAAACTATTGCTGTGACAAACATAAAAATTACTATTCTAATTGCTCTGAAAGAATGAGAAAGACTGTATTTTCATGTTTAAACCCACTGGTTAACTGTAAAAATTAATTATTTTCCACCTATATTGGTGAGGTTCATACAGAGGCACAAGGAAGAGGGAAGTCTGCCCTCGAGCCACTCTCTCCTAATTCCTTTCCTCCCCCTCAACAGCTCCCCGGACTCTGATTTTGTGCAGTTTGTTGAGGTCCTACTTCCAACTTTTTTGAAAGGAGTATGAGTTATGTGAGATACAGATTATATCCATAAAAATATAGTGATTCTTCCTACAGCTGCTTAAAATGACCTGTTTATTTTTCCTCCTTTAACAATACACTTGCTGCCTGTAAATATTTATGCAAAGAGCAGACAGTGGATTCTTCTAAGTCTCAGAGCTACCTCTGCATTTGGGCTCACGATAGAAAATGGATCAAATACCACTGCACTCTGTTAGGAACATTATTTTACAGAATACACGTAACAGATCCTGCTAAAGGCCATAAAATCTTTAGTTAAAATGTTCCAACAGAAGTACTTTATATTTCCAAAAAGTATTTTCCCATGCCTTCAAGTAAATTATGTCCATATATGTTAAAGGCAACTCTTTTGTCTATAGAGGTAGTTTTCAGCTTTTTAGGAAACATTTAAGAGCCTATTATTCTGTCAAAAACAAACAAACAAAACAAAGGCCATAGCTTTTCACATGAAAAGAACAAATAGCTGTGGATTTCACAGACCACAAAAATAATCTTCTGAGCAAATCCAGGTGGGCAAGAAATTATTTCCAGCCTCTATACAATAAATTATGCATTTAATAAATATCATAAAAGTCTCTCATTAAACTATTTGAATACTCAGTATAGTCATAGAGAAGTAGCTAAATATAGGTACAGGTAAATTCTATACTGAACAGAAATTATTATATTTTGGGTTTTATTCATTTAATGGGACTACTTTTAGGATCACCTTCATTGAGACTGAATTGGGACCCCCAAAATACACACATCTATCAAGATCACAGATGTCAGAAGAGAAGTCAAAAGCAGAACTCAGGACTCCTGACTCCCTGTTCGCTTCTGAAGAAGGACTAGATGTCAATCATTTGAAAAATAACCCAATAATTCATACTCTGTAGTCTCTTATCAGTTTTATAGCAAAGGAAGTTACTGGGAATACAATGTATAAAAATAAAGCCATGGTTTTATGTAAAGTTAATTTCCACTTTTCCACCATAAAACATTTCTTAACAAAAGTGAAAGAGGAATTCTGAGATCAGTTTATTCAAAAAAATGTGTAAGCCCCAACAGTTTGAAAGCTCTTCCTTTTCTTCTGGATGTACAGTCAGCAGTTTCTTGCTCTTCTCTTCCTCCTCCTAGGCTGGAAAAGTAAATCTTCATCCCTCCATTGTCTTCAAACATTCAAGGTTTTGATTATCTTTCTTCCTCTAACAAAAAATCCCTGGGCTAATTAAAAATGGCCCAGTCCTGAAAGAAGCACACCTGGATACAGTAAGGCTTCACCTTTCTTGGAAGCTAAGACGAACTGGAGAAGCTGGTACACCCCAACCCGTTACAACATCCTCTACTCACCGTAACACATTTTGTGATACCTGAGAGGAATATAAGGGACAGTGTTAACAATGCCATCACTTTGCCTGCAGTGGGGAAAGGGCAGTCTCCTGCCTGTCTGCCCAGGAAAGGATAACCACTGGTTAATCGTGTAGAATGACAGAAATTTTCACCATATCTTATACACCCTGGGCTTTCACTTGTTTTTCTTCCTTTGTTATATATGTCATTGCTTGTTTATCAATCTTCCCAAAGAAGATCACTGTAGATATCCTCAGTGACCACCATGGACAACCTTAACCTTGGGGTGGGCAAAGAGCTGAGAGGAAACTACAGTCTATGTAGAGAGACACCATTTTCAGGCATGTCAGTGCCAGGGGTAGAGGGTACCCTCAAGTGTTACTGAGGACCACAGTCTTATAAAGAGCGGCATCTTGCATCCTAAATAGGACCTCTAGTGCCACTAAATAAGAAGAAAATACAGAAAATAAATAAGGTTTTCACATATAATTGGAAGTTCACTGGCCAAAAATATTTTATGATGGTTGTTTCAGTAGGCTGTCATTTCCTGTACAGCTGTTTGCAGTTAAGTGCCATTTCATGGTAGATAAACCATTACCAGCTGTAGAGTACCAGGAACTTTACACAGTAACTATTAAAGCTGACAACTTGGTGTCTGTTACAAACTGGATTTCCAGGCCTTTCCAGATACAAGAAGGAAATGAGGGAGCCAACATTTGGTCCTAATCTTCATGAAGTTCTCCATGCCCGTGAATTTGGAAAGCCAAAAGCACACTTCTAAGCTGCCCAGACAGTCTAAAAACGACTGTTTGATTAAGATGATGTTAGGAATGAGTTGTTTTGAGATTTTCCACTACATAGGAATGGCTCTACAGTTCAAAAAATAACTGTACGTTTATAACAAACTGATCTAATTACAAAATAATAAAAGCACATCAAGGTGATTAACATGAGCAGTTTGTATCTGCGTACTTCCAAG